ATTTTTTACTGGTGCAAATCTTGTATACTTTTTACACCGTATATACTCGTTTTTATACAAATATATTTAAAAAAAAATTTATTAATTAAAAATTTTTCTAATAAGAATTGTGACAATTTAATTTTCAATTTTAAATAATTACAACTAAATTGTTTTCAACTTTAAATTTGAAAAATAATCGAATTATTCATTTTAATTTCGAACTTGATTTAATTTATTCAATTCTGCAATCCAGTTAAGATTAACGAATTTAAATCTGTTTGTTCCAATAAGTTAAAATTGCTTTTCATTTGAACTTCTATATTTTAATCTGTTATTTACGAAACGAATACCTTATCCACTTTCAAACTTAAATATAAAATTTGGCTAATCCCCTTTATTTCCAATCTGCAATATGTGCATCACTCTAGTTGAGTATTACACAAACAGATTGCAAGGGATAAAATTAAGATGTTAACAATGAATGCAGAATATTTAAATAATTGCTCTTTTAAGGCTTTATGCTTTTTATTCCATACTTCAATTACATAATTCCAGACAGATTGATATAATGGGTCTTGAACTAGAATATTTACTGAACAAAAACCACTCAAGATTATAAACATCCTCCAGCTTCAACTACTTTCCTGTGTTTATAGCATATCAATGTAATTAAAAAGTTATAAAGTCCTATATTCTCAGCTTTGGTTTAAACTACATTTAAACTGTTGCAGTGTAGTTGTAGTATATATAAAATTAATTGTCTGACTTATTAATAATATATTATTTAACATAATTTCATAAATTAGTTAATTTTATACAGCATAATATTTCTATACTGTAAATATTCCAAGTGTAGTGTTAATATAAAACAAAGATATTTATAGAAAGATATGTCTATATACACAAACACATATCCTTCTATAAATATCTGTAATAGTTTGTTTCATATAAACACTACACTTAGAATATTTAAACTGTTACAGTGTAGTTGTAGTGTATATAAAACTGTCTAACTTAAGTGAGTATATTATTAATATGTATTCTGTGTGTATAAGTATAGACATATATTTCTATAAATACCTGTAACGAGATAGACACGCTGAGGCAAGTGACGTTTAGTAGATAGTACTTGTCATTCTCCCCTTCACGCAAAACATATTTCAATTGAGATGCATTGGCAGTAAGAAGGGCTATGTCCATCATCCCTTGAGCAACTGTCTTTTTGGCGGCATATAAATTAACATCCATGGCAGGCCGAGAAGAACGAGGACGTTCCTGTAAAAAGCAAATACTATTCGTTTTTAATACGTTTATTTTTAAATAATTTCCCGTTTCTTACCTCCCGTTCGATGAGTGTTCTATCCGGTTGATCGCCACATTCGACCATACTCGTCTGCTTCATGTTAATCGCTTCGTTTCTCTCCTCCATCACCCCGTTCGCGCCCGTTTCTACTAAGAAGTTAACCGGAGGCCATTTTGAAAGTTTAAAAAAACGCGTCCTTGAACGTCTATTACGTCATCGCAGGCGGACGATTTATGACAAAACATCCTGTAGAAAGTTCAAGAGAAATAAAGAGGTAAAAATATCAGAAATTTAATCGAAATTATTATTATAATTTAAACGTGATCATCCTTTAATAACTATACTATAAACATAGAAATCGTGAAGTTATTTT